AACCGTTCACATTTATTTGTAGTAAGATAACTAAAAACGAGTCAAGAGGCGTCACTCTATTATCTAACAGAACCCTGAACGAATTAACAGACATTAAAACGGTAAGTTTTCGAAATATAATCAATACCCCATTCTACAGTTCAATATTTCTCTAGTGCATGCTCGCCTCAGACTCGGGTTTAGTTATGTAACTGGTCATGTATAAGATTTATATCTGAATGCTTGATGAACACAACGGATCCAATTCTGTTTTAGTGCATGGAAATTACAGTAAAGTTAAGATCTACAATAACTGGTTGCGAACTAGTTACAGTTTTATAATTTCCCTGTATCAAGAAGAAAAGATTTGGCATAATGCTCAGGTCGGCAATTAATGGTTGGCAGTTTTATCTCTTTCTAGAGTGATAGCTTTCATTATGGAAGAATGATATTTGAATTTCACACTTTCTAAAGTGACGGTTATCTGAAGATTGTCAACATATTCATCTTTTGAATTCCGATTACCCTCACGTGTATCTTATCATAACATTTTACGCATAAGTCTTTATTGGTTCTCGCTATTGGTGAAATTGTGCCGTCTATGTACGACTATGATATTTTTAATATATCATAGTTCAAAAGACGTTCTCGTCAACTACGGACATACCCAATGTCGTATTCTCGTTATGAAAAACCTACCTCGCAGTCGTGAAATGGTATCAAGGACACTAAACTAATTAAATATTTTATCTGGGAGTGGTATAGCCGGAGTTGTACTGAGACATTTCAGAAATTAACATACTCTCGACTCACATTCACTTTCGACAACTTAGACAGTAGTTTCGTATGGTATGAAAGCAACTTCTAAATCTGTTTGAAAAATCGCAAAGAAAAGCTGTTTACATGTAACGCATTGCCATCTAATTTACATCATATCGTCAAACAAGACATTGTTTTCAGCTTTCATTAATCAATATCTTCTACGCAACATAACATCTACATGGGAGAAGTAAAATGATTACTTACTTATTCAGTTGTTAATCCGGCCCTCTCCAGAAACTTGACCAGTTTCTTAATCTACGATGAATGGCAACTTGAGCAGGCAGCTGGGCAAACACAGGAATGTGATGATTGTTGAAGCATACCAATCAGGGTATACTCTGCCGCTGACTGACTGACTGATATAGAAGATTTAACGTGCGCTTTCCGACTGCAGCGTATTTCGCACACGGGCCTGGCCAGACCATTTAGTGTATTCCGAGAAGGGTGAAAGTGGTGTGTGCAACACAAGAGGGGGGCTTTTAGGGGTTGCTTATATCGATTTTTGAAATTTTAAAATTTGGAATAAATGCCGAGGTGGATGGAGGAGGGAACTAAGGGAGCTGGGTGAGGTGGGTATTTGTATGTTTATTGGATTTTGGGTTGGTAGATTAATTAGTTTTTAGATGCGCTTAATTAGGCCTGTTTTGATTAGGAATACGCCTAGGGCCTTGAAGTTTTCTAGTTTATTTTGAGGGTTTAGTATTTCATCTAGAGTAGGAACCTTATTTAGATTGAGGTTGGTTTGTAGTGTGGTTCTGTGTGTTTGGTAGTGGGTGCAGTGGATGAGTGCGTGTTCTGTGGTTTCGGGTTGTTTGCAGTGGGGGCAGTTGCCTGTGGTGTGTCTTTTAAGTTGTTTTAGGTGGTTATTTAGGTTCGTGTGTCCTGTTTGGAGTTTTGTAATTAATCTGTCAATTTTTTTAGAGGGGTGAAGGATTTTAGGTTTGGCTAGTGGTTTTCTGAGCACTTTTTTGATTTGGCTATTTGAGTTTTGATATTGATTATGCCATTTTTTGGTTATTTTTTGTTTGTTTACACTTTTAATTTCTGATTTTGAGATGGGTAGGTTTAGGCTTATTTCTGGGATTTTGAGAGATAATTTAGCTGCTTTATCGGCGCTTTCGTTGCCGTAAATTAGTGAGTCGTATATAGTGTTTCCAACATCACTCTTATTGGAACAAGAAGTATATTGACACTGTATTCATATATGAACCGTTCACATTTATTTGTAGTAAGATAACTAAAAACGAGTCAAGAGGCGTCACTCTATTATCTAACAGAACCCTGAACGAATTAACAGACATTAAAACGGTAAGTTTTCGAAATATAATCAATACCCCATTCTACAGTTCAATATTTCTCTAGTGCATGCTCGCCTCAGACTCGGGTTTAGTTATGTAACTGGTCATGTATAAGATTTATATCTGAATGCTTGATGAACACAACGGATCCAATTCTGTTTTAGTGCATGGAAATTACAGTAAAGTTAAGATCTACAATAACTGGTTGCGAACTAGTTACAGTTTTATAATTTCCCTGTATCAAGAAGAAAAGATTTGGCATAATGCTCAGGTCGGCAATTAATGGTTGGCAGTTTTATCTCTTTCTAGAGTGATAGCTTTCATTATGGAAGAATGATATTTGAATTTCACACTTTCTAAAGTGACGGTTATCTGAAGATTGTCAACATATTCATCTTTTGAATTCCGATTACCCTCACGTGTATCTTATCATAACATTTTACGCATAAGTCTTTATTGGTTCTCGCTATTGGTGAAATTGTGCCGTCTATGTACGACTATGATATTTTTAATATATCATAGTTCAAAAGACGTTCTCGTCAACTACGGACATACCCAATGTCGTATTCTCGTTATGAAAAACCTACCTCGCAGTCGTGAAATGGTATCAAGGACACTAAACTAATTAAATATTTTATCTGGGAGTGGTATAGCCGGAGTTGTACTGAGACATTTCAGAAATTAACATACTCTCGACTCACATTCACTTTCGACAACTTAGACAGTAGTTTCGTATGGTATGAAAGCAACTTCTAAATCTGTTTGAAAAATCGCAAAGAAAAGCTGTTTACATGTAACGCATTGCCATCTAATTTACATCATATCGTCAAACAAGACATTGTTTTCAGCTTTCATTAATCAATATCTTCTACGCAACATAACATCTACATGGGAGAAGTAAAATGATTACTTACTTATTCAGTTGTTAATCCGGCCCTCTCCAGAAACTTGACCAGTTTCTTAATCTACGATGAATGGCAACTTGAGCAGGCAGCTGGGCAAACACAGGAATGTGATGATTGTTGAAGCATACCAATCAGGGTATACTCTGCCGCTGAGGAGAACGTGTCATATAGCACCAATGACCTACCACGTGACATAGCGAGCAGTCACGTGATATGTTACGCGCGAGAAGTTAATTCCATGGTGTGAAATAGTCTTCATTCCAAACTGACGCCATCTTTCAGTGCTTTTATACAAACAACATTATATTTTATTCATTTAGTTTTTACTTACCTTTTTTAAATAAAATTCACTTTCTGTGAAGCAGACGTTAAATAAACGAAAGAAACAACTCATTTTAGTATCTGAAGTAATCCTTAACTTATTATCTTAAAACTCACCTCTAGTTTTTACATAATATTCAGTTAGATTATTTACCATATCTTGTTTTGTGTTTGTACCCGTCGGGCACATCCCATTTGTGAAGCCGATGTTGAATGATGATGTGACACTCCCACTCCAAATAAAGGGGATAATAGAATATAAATATTTCAGATAACACTTACTGTTACCTTTAATAAATCTTTTCCTTGTTGTTGTTTTTAATGAATAAAAATAGCTTTTTGGGGTGATTTTTTTGTATCTAAAGATAGTAACCCGGCATGATGAAAGGACAATGTATGAAACGATGAAACAGAAGCAACATATATAACGGAATACGGTTGGTCCTTATAGCCTTCTGTTCTATTTGTAGGAACAGACTAAGCAAGAATGCTTCGCTGTGAACTTAATTTTTTCAGTGAAACCCCTATCAAAATACTACCCTTGTTTCTCTTTTCAAAGATTCTAGTTTTCACCTGTTTTGTCTGGTTTAAATTTAACAGTTTTTATTCAGAAAGGCCATACGCCTTTCATACGACAATTCACTGCAATAATGATGAGAAAAACAGATTGAGTTATATCATTGTAGATACAATTACTGGTAGCTGCATATTATATTTTGGCACTATTTACCACGAAAAGACCAAATCATGAGCAAATTTAACTGAAATGTAAAGTGGCTACTCTTTATATTTATTTTCTTATCTTCCTTGTCTATAATCATATGACATTGCCTATGAAATTTGAATAAATAAACAAATATTTTGTTTTCCCATACCGACTGACGATTGTCGTAGAACAAAGATCGTTTCTACAATAGAGGGCCTCATTAGTAATATTTGAACTAATATATTATATTTTGTAAACGCTTTTGCTGGCTGTGACCTAGGCAAACCATGATGTTTTTAGAAGAATCTGCTTTGTTTAAATCACAATCACTGATCCAAACATGTGCGCCAATATGTTAATCCTTCAATAAGATTATCTTATCGTGAGAAGAAAGGTGCCGTTTATGAACTGTGCGTTGCGACTCAACGTTCAACTGAATTGTGAAAACATTTTAGTATTGGGCAGAGACGTCCACATTATACAAATTCTCACTTCCGTTTAAAAAATCCAAAATGCATATATACTTAGACGTCTGATGGCCAGTTACGTTTGAAACGCGTTGAAAAAAGGCTGTTCATTATCTTGGATCGACTTTTTGCAATGGAAGAGGCATCACTGCATGGAATTTGGTCAGAGTCAGGAGAAAGCTCAGGTAAGACCAAATATCTACATATTTATTTATGTAAAGACATCGGTTTATTTCTGTGTAAATCACCATATAGAGGAGATACATTATCGTTCGATATTATTATATTATGCAAAACATCACACATAAGATTATGAAATGTTTTCCCTTTCTGAGATATTGCTCATATCTGACAAATATACATACATTGTAAAGGAATCGTTTAGTGCCATATACATGAATATAGAAATGTAATGACTACTCTATTAACATAAGACGTTCGATATAGAGTTGTGAACGGACCTAACAATTTACATCTACCATCTTTTATTATCCCGTCGCAGAAAGCACACTTCGTTGTGAACTGCAGTGTTATAGTGAGAACCTTTGACACAGAAGAAAATTATTTCTAAAATATGTTCTAAAATAACGTATCGCTTTACCGTATGCATGTACATAGTATAACGTTAGTTGTTATCTATTAGATTTTTGATCCCCGTACATTGCTAAAACTGCACAATGCGACACCCGGGTATACGACTATTAAAAAACCTCCAATACAACAATGTTGATAAACAAAGATTATTTGTGATATCTACAAGCAGTGTCACAATAAAACTGAAGATTTTGATTTTGTATCGCCTATGAAAAGTAATTTATTCTGCAAACATGCAGTGCCACGGAAACTCTAACTATCTTTTATTAAGAAGCTGCATATGTGTTATTTCGTTTAAACAATTTGTAACTACAGTTTGAATCCCCTTTTTAACATGGACATATTATACACTTGATGAGATTGTTTGCGCGGCTCAGTTCTCAGTTCACATGTTTGACAAATGGCACTATAAAACGTTGGTAAAAATATCAAAAACAGCCTTTTTAATTTGGAATAGTATATGCCCAATGACGGTTTGGCAGAAACCACAAAAAAGTATAGATTGTCAATAACATGTCGCACATACCGGGCCCTAGTTCAAGATCAAAGATAATTGCCGCCTTGGAATGTCTAGCGGAATGATTGACACCTGTTATCACTGTAAATGTCTTGTCAAGGCTTGACTAACGATGACTCAACGCCAATTTAAAGAGGACATTACCACATGTTTATTGATAAACATTGAGAATAACCATAGACAGTATGGCGCCGCTTAATTTGACTGTCTGCCGCTTTCACACTGATTTGACAATATGCATAGGTAACACGCGTTACTGCCGCATGAGTTTGTTATTTTCTATGATGGGTAGTGATACGTGTGCGATTTATTTGCAATGAAACTTAGCCAATTCTCTATGACATCGGCATTTGTGCACGGGAACCACGGCGTGTATGTTTATTTCTCTCAAATCGTAAACGTAATTATTAATTACTACAGTCACCTACTACAATATTTTGGGTTATTTGTCATTTGGATATTTTCTTAATAACTTAAGACAAATAATTGATATATGAATGATTTATATTAATATGAATTCAGGCTCTTGAAATAGAGTTTATTAACATCATTCCTCTATTTGGCTGGCATTTTGAGTAGATTGTTCTGACTAAATCTAGTTCCACCATGCAAACTACATGTTTTCCTCTGAATTTATAATCAGTATCTCTTCAATTGTAATTATTCTACCTGCGTTTTATGTTATAAGAAAACCGAACAGTTATCATCATTCGATAGGACAAAGGCTTAACTATGCTTCTTACCCAAACTACCAAACTAAGTATTCATTTGTGTGTGACCATATCCCTACAAACACGCTAAAACCAAGCAATCCCATTTCACTTACATATTGTTTGAAACACATGCTAGTCAATCGCAAAATACTGATTCGCATTTTAGATTCAAGGTAAGCAATGCATTATATACTTACAACATATTTATCATGTTCAATTTAAGGATCCGAATACCAGATCGACGAGGAGGACAAGAGTGACACATCGTCGGAATTTGCCACCAATTACCAGGTATTAATTGAAATAGTGAATAGATTATTCACTGATTATCCGGGGAAGTTAACCATTTTTTATTTAAACAATATTTCATTCGGAAATAATATAACGATACAGAATAGGGAAAAGGTGAACCGAAAACTAAATATCTATACTAAGTCTAACATCTTTCCTCTTACAATAATGTACGCAGTAACTATATTCTAATGTAAATGAATAACATTTTGTAAAAAGGAAATACGGTGAGACAGTTAAGTAATGTTGTATCATTTATTTCGGTTTCTTCATGTCCCAGGAAACTAGACGCTGATCTCTTGTAATAGAGTAACATAAATGTTTTATTAGTAGACTGAATGTGTGTCTGTATGAACTGAATTGTATCATCATAGTGTTGACCCAAAAGGAATATCGCCAAGGTGAACGAGACAAAAATATTGAAAAAAATCATAGAGTAGGTTAGGAAAAAAAGTCATGGGAAAAAAATCATAAACAATAAAATCTGTATGCATATCAGTTTTATTCAAGTAACAACAAGTGATCTGAAGACTAAATAAATAAAGTCCTGTTCTGTTCTGAAGACGCCGTCATGATTAGTTGGCGCCAGCCTAGACTGTCCAATCAACGTGAATATACAAACCGTGATGATACTTGACCAGTTGATGGCACCTGTCAAACTCAAAGTGCCCCTGGTCCTCCACCCACCATGTGTAATACTTTAGCGCACTTGAACGTTTTATGTGCAGCTATATCACTGTTAGGCTGAGTGATGAGAGAATAAATTTGGTCGTTTTTGTTAACGATCGTTTTTATGTTCAACCTGGTAACCTTATAAGTGACTAACTGTTTTATCATGATGAAATGAAACATAAAAAAATAATCAGAGGGAATGACGGTCGCATTTTTCGCATACATGTCATGCTCGCATTAATTTCATGATTTACTCAAGATAGATTTGAGCAACGATCATGTTTGGGTAAGGGAGATAATTTTGTCTCCGCTTGCAATTGGTTTCAATCGGACGAGCAGCTCCGAGATCGCAGCTTGACTGTTCGGTACGGCCGAAACGCGGCATCCATGTTGTTCACGCTCCTTAGATCACGCGGCCTCATTGGCCTGACGAGACATAGCTCTACATGCCACTATCGCTTTGCTTCAGTTTCTGCCAGTCTATACCTTTCTTGAATCAATTAACGATTTCATTGTCAAAGTGGTCTGATTTCAGTAATGTTAATGAAATCGGTGTTGTAATATATTATAAACTTGAACATTGTGCACTATCTGTTATACATCTGTCAGTTATATATGTAATATTCATATTGTCAGGGATTGTTTTACTAAATGTGTTAACACTTATATCACCCGTTTACATCATCTGCTGCTAGTGTCGAAAACAAGTGTTTGACGAATTCAAGTTTTACCGCATAACCATATTGTGGAAACATTTTAATTTTGTATTTGGTCTCATCGTAGAGTCCAGTCAAGCGCAAGAACAAAATCTTGAGACAAAGGGAAGAAAATGGAAAAAAGAATAGATTAGGAAGCGGTCCAGTTGCCTCATCTACACCTATGACAAGAGTTTACGACTTTTCAGGTATTTCTTACCGAACTTTACAATAATGGTTCCTAATTAGTGGCCAGGTTGAACTGTTGAAATGTGTCTGTGATTGCAGAAAGTGTCTCTCATAACCTGTAATGGGTTGTTCATACATAATTGTTTTAAATAGATTTTATATTGTAAATATGAGGTGAGACTGTAATAAAATATCTGTCTGTAATTACGACAAGTAGGACTGACCGTTAGCTTTAGCAGTCCACGTGAAGCAAAAAAAGTATAACGTTTGTGACTCGCCTGCAGTCGCAGATGAATTTCTTTACCTTTTTAAATGTCCAGGGCTCAATCATCAAAGAAAAACATGAACTGTAAATTATTGTGCATGGCAAAATGTATATAAACTTTGCAAATGTATGCAGTCTAAAAACTATTATGTTTGAGCAATAAAGCACGTTCAAGATAACTGATTCATATATTTTCATCAACCCAAGCCCATTTCTTAAATTGTACTTTTCTATGCAGATGGAGAAGATGACGGTCAGGACTTACTGAGAAGAGCCTCAAGCTGTAGTATGTATTTTCATCAAACACAATTCTATGAGCAGGTTCATGAATTTTCTTGTCACATTCGTGTAGTTTAACATGTAATTTGCTTTCATTTCAATCAGAGATTATCGTAGGTATGCTTAGACACGCAGTTATTTTCAACATCTAAATGGATATTCATAAAGATAAATGAAATCCGTATCCATCGGCGATCAATGGTATGTAGTGCATCGATGTGTCTGCAATTTGCTTAGAAAATAGCACTCATACGGCATCTGATAAACAAATTAATGTTTCAGAGAAACAAGCTGCAATTCAAGCTGAGACTCCTCGTATGAGAAAAGGTATGTCACACAACGTATGAAATGATTTTTCGCATTGTATGAATAATCATACATTTATATGATTTTGGCACATCTTTAGCTGCCACAAGATACGCGGAATGACACAGGAGGAACATCTCCATTATTGATAAGGATTGCTTAATCGACATTAAAATGCCCTAGCTAATGATATTCAAACACTCATTCGTCAACACCAATTACATTCGACCAGCAACAAGATCATTTAATGTAACTATCCTTTTTATGTTTGCCGCTGAGGCTTGTCTTATATTCCAGCGGGATTTCAAATGACTGCAACCTAGTGCTTATAACACTTCAGATTGCAGTTGATGGCAAAATTAGCTTACTCTTTTTAATAAGAATATCAAGGAGGGGTAGTTCTGTTTGGCTCGAATATATTTTGAATTTGATATTTGAGTGCATATTTTGGAGAAGGTTGCACTTGAATTTTTCCCAGAACGTAAAACGGTCATCCAGGTGCTATGTAAGTATTTAATGTTTCTCTTAATTACAGGAAAGTCAATCCCCTATGCGGAATTTCTCCAACTCATGAGGGTCATGGAAGGACGACTTCACAGGGCCATTACAGATTTGAAGGGCGAAGTCGGCGACCTTAAAAAGGAAATTGGAAACTTAAACAGCGAGGTTAGAGACCTCAAGAGCAAACTTACTGAAAAGAATACACAGGTAAGTGATGATAGTCAACAGTGTATTCAGTTTAAAATGCATTCTCGATATGATTTATCGTGTTTCAAGGGGAAAATTATAGTTAAATATATATTTACGTGTCATTACAAGGAAACATTGATTTTAAAAATTGCATCCAGCCAGTGTTGGATCATGCGATATAACAGTAAGTGAACTAGTAGGGCATACCATGATACGTTTCACCGTCAATTTTCACTATATTTGTATTTCCAGGTTACCGCCCTAACTGCAAAAGTTACACGTTTGGACAACAGGGTCCAGGAACCAACACAAACTTCGACCAAATCCAGCAAAGTCAGTACAAACATAAGGGTAAGATCCCAGCAAAACATCAAAACGGCGGATATGTGGAAAACCGTGTTTAGCGACCGAGATTATACAGCGCGTTAAACGAGGGCAATCAACATAAACTATGTGTTGTTATTGGGAAGAAAAACACCATAACGATTGTTTTCCCGAAGTACTCGGCACTAATAAGCGGATTAAGGTTGAATTCAGATACTTTCGGCTTGAAAGCATTCACTTTCTTTATCTAAAATAATATTTGGCATGGGGGAGATTGCACTAGTGTAATGATAAAACACCACTTTGTTTACAATCAAGTTGTAAACAATCAAGTTGTAAACCAACGCATGGACCTGTTACTGTTGTGGTACGGTATATTGTAGACATGGAGCATAGAGTGTTTTTGTATGTTGGATGAGAGTGTTTGGATGAGAAAGTGTTTGTATGCGTGAACGTTGTGTTTGTGTCCAGAATGGTAAATGCGTATGAGTTTCGTATGTACCCCGGTATGCAAGTATGAAAGTAATTATGTCTTGAGTGTATGTGTGTGAACGTTACGTAAATTTGTGCATGGAGGTATCTGAGTGAGGTAGGTATGTTGTGGTGTGTCCACAGAGGTGGATGTGGGATGCAACTGTATTTTATTGTAATTTTTTAATTTTTTTTAAATGGCCAGGTGTATCTATTTTAAATAGCTTGGGTTCAGCAATCGCATTAATTTCACGATTTACAGTAATCGATGCGTTTCTCATAAGACAATATCAAGTTTCGATAGATTTATCTCACAGATAAAATCACCAATATTGATTCTTTCTATTGTCTGTTAACTATATTTTATCAATTTTCTTCCTTAGGCAGCATTGAAGGCAGCGATCGACCATGCTGAAACTGAGAAAGGGTGGACTATGGAGCCTATGTTCACGTAAGTATCGTAGTGTGCAGTGATCATTTTGGAAAGGACGATATGTTCATTCTGTTACAATCATTTAAATAATTCGAAAATATCATTTTTACCATACTTGACAACCATTTGTTTGGAGTCGACTTACACCAGGAAAACGCTGTGGCATTGTAAGCACTATTTCTGTTGATATGTGTATCTTTGCGTCTGTGAGACCGAGTATGTAACCTATATAATTATTTATCTCTTTTTAAACCCCTATAGGTTTGTCGCTGATAAAAGTTAATCAAAACTATCAAAAGTCATATGTAATTTATCTTTGTTTCACTTATACTTTTATTACAGTACTTTTTATTCAGATGAATAGATAGGCTTGTTTTAAAATCTTATCGCATTTTTAGTGTTCATTTTACCTCCATAATCAATGAACGAGTCGCAAAGTTTTGTGTGCCTCAAGTTTTTCTGATAAAATTGGAGGTACATCCGAAAAAGACTGTTACGCAATTTTGGCAAAAATAATATTTTCTTAATACCACCACGATTACTTCTCTTCCATGAATCCCGTTTCAGTAGAAAATAGTCATAAATAAAGTCTTAGGAATCTTTGTAATGGGAAATTATATGAGACAGTCACATAAATATATATCTTTTTGTTATTTTTGTACCAGAAAACTGTACCACCAATATATCTCAAATCTAAACGAATATGTCTTAATTATGCAGTGAAATTATACCTAATAATCTTGCTTCTTTTAGTTACTTCAAAATAAGTTAATAAGTTCATGCTGAAGTCGTTAAAGAAGATTATATGTAATAGTTATTGGCATATGTATATTTCTGGTCATATAATAAAAGTAAAACATTTGTTGCAGGTTGGAGTCCGCACAGAATCGACAAGTTGTCAAATACATCTGGGACTTTTCTAAGGTGATAGCTCCAAGCATGACAAAACAGGAATTTAAAGGTATTTTTATCATTTAAGTGTATTTCAAATGCATGTGTCCGTCATGTACATTTTTAAAACATTTCAATTCCATAAGTCAATGCAAAGGTACACATGCCTACTAGTGGAAAGATTTAAACCTTTTTTCAGTGTTTTGAAATGACTTATCTATGATGCGTAACATTCCCATTAGTCTGTCAGGAAAGAATTATATGCAGCATTCACAGGTAAACTAATGGTTAAAGACTTGCTGTACACTATTTGAAGATATGGAAAAAAGACCGGTATGTTGCAGTTCACATCCAAATAAGGAAAGAAACATTATGTTCCAGATGGTATGACCAGGATCATGTTAACGAAGAAAGAGAAGCTATCCCGAACACGTAACGGAAAAGAGAAAGAACACACGGACGCGTCCAGAAAGAATTCAAGGAAACTGACGGTAAGTTGAAAGATTTGTGTTGCTGGAGGGATTAAATACCCCCTTAGGATATAAAATTTGGATTATTGAAGATGAATTTTGAGTGAAGCTTAACTTGGGCAAAGTAAGGCCAATTGTTGGAAGTGTTTGAGGTGTGACTTTATATAGGCCTGTTGGCCATGGCCGCCGAGTTAAAAAAAAGAGAAATTTAGAATGAGGTGAGTGGCGCCTTATTAATATATAATTAAAAGGTGCCCAGTGGAGTAAGGTTATAGGGAGAGGTGGAATTTGGAATACATATGTTTTTTGCAGAATTAACAGCAGGATAGATTAGAATAGAGAATTTTATTAGGACAACCGGGGTGTATAAAAATTGGTAAATTGCCTGCTTTTAATATTTACCTATTTACCCTTATATAGTTTACACCCCGGGTAATTTTCTGTTGTTTATATTATGAGTGTATATATATACATAGTGCCCCAGGTAATTTTACAAGTATACACTACAATTCTAAGACGGAAAGGCCGTCATGTGTTGTCTAGACTGTCCAATCAACGTGAGTTAACAAACCGTGATCACTTGACTAGCATTGATTAGCTTGTCTATAATGCCCACCTTTGTAACATGTCAATATATTGCTTTGTCATTATATCATTGTAATTAGTTCTGAGAAAATGTTGTTATGAACAGTGGCACGACCATCACCCGACACCTGTATATATTCAATGTGTTACGTGACAGACTATTTCTATTATCCCCCAGTCTCTGTCTTGTTAGTTAACGCCAGAGTCGACACACGCGTAGCTCAGCTATTTTAGTCAGTCTTCTAATGACTGGGACAACACACACGACTTGTGTAACTTGTTTATAATTTCAATCACTGTTCAGAAAACATTTGTGGAGGTGTAATAAACCACAGGCGCGAAAGAGATTTTTTTTTAACCTTTAATATGAAAGTATATATTTTACAAGAGCTTTTTGCCAGTCTAGCTACCACTCGCTCGTCTTCTACATAAGAGTAAAAGTGGGGCACATCTCTGCCGGTATTCTTCCATGTATTCGCATAACAGCTTCGAAATAATATTTTGGGCGTCCATTGATGCACATATGCATCGGAGAGTCAACTAGGACATTGGCAAATGAATTCATGTAAATGCAATATCATCATACAACGTGTTTAGAAAATAATAAGAAGAAGAAGATTCCAAGCGATGCTCCCGAGTGCTTTGCCGGTACTGACGTCAGTGGTTAGGGCTTGTGGTTTTGCACATTAGTAGATAATAGAATCCAGTCAATATATATAATATCGTTTTTTAAGTCTTTCACAGTATTTCAACCTGTGAAATAAACTCATCATAATACTTATTAAGAGGTGTGTCGCTAATCACCTCGGGATATCTTTGATATTCCATGTATAACTTTGCTCTGACTTATTGAATTTCCTATTTACCTGGCTTGAATCAATTCATATACAGAAGAGTAAAACGACTGAACCTGCATACATTTTAAGCGGTCATTGATCAAAGGATATTATGAGGCGTACTCCTTTTTGTTTGTCAACATCACGCCTCGAAACATTTTATAAAGTAAACCGTGACTGTTCTGTTGTTAAAATTAGGTATTACTGAAACGGATTTTTGAGCAGTTGTCAATATATGAAATAATAGGTCATGTGTATCCATTAATGCCCATCCGACGGATATGTTTCAATTACCAAGCCTAGTAAGGCAAGGTTGCCTGTTGTCCTCAATACTATTTTGTGTTGAGCAATACGATTTAGCAACAAAATTTAAAAAATCATTGGCTTGCTATTATATGCGTATGAATTTCTCTTTTAACAGCAGGGTTTTGCCCGGTCTCAGTAATATTGAATTGTATAAACGTTGTTAGGTAAGGTTTAAATCTTACCATTTCTTGGTAGTTATTATTGTCGTTGCAAGAAATTAATAGTTTCTTTTAAATGTTACTTGACGAATTTACATTGCACCCTCAATGTAAATGTGTTGTCAATATATTCAAATAGTTGAAATCATTTCCTAAATAACTAATGTTACACAAATAACACTTTCCGCCATAAAAAGGTACATAACGCCATCTTTCTACCTTTATAGAAACCCTGAGCGTCACCCAATGACCCTAATAAATCTGTCACCCGCGGCCGCATGTATATGCACATAGAAAATTGGTTAGAGGTAGATATGCCACAAATACAATTACAGAAACTCTCAGAATATGATAAATTAGGAAGCATTTGTTTTTAATGATTTAAAGAATGGTTTATCTCAAATAAAGAAGGCCAACAGACAATGCCTATATGAAGTTCCCTCCAGACAAATTCCTTCCACATAATTTACTATTGCATCTCAGAGGACTGTACCTTGGGTACTGAAACAGATAATGAACATTACCCTGATAAAAGTAACCACAACTAGAAGATAAATTATGAGGAGCAAATCTATCAAATTTGTAGCCATTTATTTCACTACGTTCTTATCTAAATGTACTATGTACTATCCAATTCTTTCCGTTACCAAATATTCTATATTGATGAGTTACATTACTATCGATCCGGACTTTCGTTGTCAAACATGTTAAATCGACACAAATTAGCCTCGAGCAGATCACCACTCAGCTGCCCAGCCATTCCACAGAGATTTTTCTTAAATTGTTCTGATAAACAAAACCAGAAAATCGGAATCGTAACTGACATATCTCCCTTACTTGCGATATGTTCCAATGTTGTTAGAAATGTCGTGTCATTTTAAAACGTATATAAATCCAATCATACCTTCAGATCATTGTTGTAACATGTCTTTTGGTAGTATATTTATCTATACTACGAAATGTTTCATGTTTCATACTCTGTGGGGAGTGACTAATATTCACACCAAGTACCAGAAAGATAGTTAGGAATGTAACGATGCGTATAACTATAGTTGCTGCAATTGCTTCTCTGAAATGAGAATAAAATGTTTCATGTTTGTTATTCCTGCATTAAAACGTCTTAAATAACTCCTGCTTGTACGCAGTGAGTTTTACTTTAGGAGTTCAACTGCAAATAATATGTACTATGAGTTGTAAGTTAATGTTACTGAAACTTGAAGATTATCTGTAGACTTCTTTTTATAGATTTAGATATATATTTCTTCCCATTTACAGAATTTCGATTTATAGTGACTCTAAACACAACATGCTCAGGACAAACTATTCTACTGAAGTAATGGGCACATTTCTGTTTTGTCTTCGTTTTATTTCGTGTTTAAGAAAGGTGGGTGTTATAAAGTGAACGGTTTTGCTTTCAGAAAAGCAGAAACCGTGTAACTGGCATTGAAAAATCCGAACTACCTCATCACACAAGGACCAAGTACATTCGAGTAATGAAAAAAACGCAGCTCATGTCGTCAGAAGAGAGTTCGGTCGACGAGGATGGCAACCGGGTCTTCAATGTGAGAAGGAGGGACTGGGAGAGTCATGAAATGAGGGCCGCTAAAAAAGTGGCCGACGAGACATTTAGTAAAACAACCAAGACAGCAGCGTCCATCGTACCACGGACGAGACGAATTACAGGCGTCTCGTCATTTGCACCACCTCCTGCCTGGTTGCAGAAAGAAGACAGCTGGGTCAGCTCAGCACTGACATACCATGGAGTAGTTTAGAATCATCATCATTCATATCCTCATCAGAACATGCTTACTTACTTACTAAAAGGGGTGTTTTTATAGGTTAGGAATTTTAGGGTTTATTGGCAGCTTGTTTTTTGTCCTTTTTTTTAAATGCGGCCAAGTAGGCCTGGTTTGATTAGATATATGCTTAGTGCTTCAAAGGTTTAAAGTCATGTAGGGGGTTCAGTACAGTCATGTGATTGTTGCAATTTAGTGAGGATTGGAGTGTTGTTTGGTCTGTGTTGCTGGTAATGTGTTCCATAAAGTATTGAATAGGGCGCTCTAAATGTAAATGTCACACGGGAATAATACGTGTTCGGGCGTTTCTTTTTAAGTTGCAGTGGGGGTATTTACCGGTTTGGTGGTTTTTTTAATTAGGTGTAGGTGAGAGCTTAACTTAGTGTGGCCTGTTTGTAGTTTGGTTATTACTCTGTCAATGTTTTTGGTTTTATGATGGATATGTTTTTTTGAGTGGCGTTTTAGTTTGCAATCATATTTCTGATTGTTATTTTGCCGCTATTTTCCTTTGAGATACTTTTAATTTCTTTTTTTTTATTTTGGTAGGTTGATGCTTGGGATGCTTACTTCTTCTAATTTTAGTGCTGATTTGGCTGCTTTGTCTACATGTTCGTTGCCAAACACCCCAACGTGGGCAGGGATCCAAACTATTTCTATGTCTTTACCTAGTTTACGTAGATTGTTGGCGCTTTTATCTGTTGTATTAGTTTGGGGCGTTTTTTGTGGTTTTGTTTTTATGGCCTGGAGCCCACTTAATGAGCCGGGATGCGCATGAATCACGGTCGTCAAAACGAATATATTTACCAATTATATGAAGTCAATTAGCCAGTTCAAGAGACAATACCCTGGTGTAATTACGTCGCATGCCTCTGGTTCACGGTTCGTCTGATCTCCCGTCATAAAACCACGATGTTTATTTACCTGGAGCCCCAGACAGCGCTGACTTCCCTGTGTGCAAGTACGTACATGGCAATAAATGGTTTGACAGTTGTTTGACGGAATCCCCCCCCCCCCCCCCCCCCCCCCCCTCCTTCTACCTTTTATGGCATATTTCAAAATTCCAAACTTGACCTGTTTTGTATATATGTATATATTATTACGTTAATATGGACAATGGTAAAATTCATAATCACAGTTCAAGGGCTGTTCACAAATTATGTAAATCTGCTTCGTGGTGAATGAAGCATGGTAATAAATGTATGCATCTGAGTCATTTGTTCTGTATTCTTTGATGAGAATGAGTTTTCTTATATTAATGATGATTACTCTCACAGAATATTTGATAAGAGGATAGGACTTTCAGTTGAGAATAGTTATGCAAAAGTATAGGCGGTCTGTGCACATGTGGTAAAACTGATATATCATTGACATGATAATCGGGACTTGGAAATCATAGTCTCTCATTATATGACATAAATACACGTCTATAAGGACGCCCGACTTGTTCACGAAGCGTAATTTCAGGTTATCTGAAATCTGTCGGTTTGGAATTATTATTTTTTGTTTGTAATAAGGATAACAAAAACATGTTTTGTATTCTATTGAAGCATTCATAAATAATTCAGTGTTCGTTTCCCGCGGTTAAAGAGTTTAAACTGATTGCAAACTGATTTTAAAATATATGGTTCTGTCTGTAGTACGTCCTGATGTCATAATATTATGTCGTAAACATGTTAAATAAAACAATTATTGATAACTTCCTGAATTCCAATTGTTCAATGAACAGAATTATTCACAGCTCTGGCCTGAGACAACAATCAATTAGATGTTACTAAAGATTGTCCATTCTATGATCTTAGGCACATGTCGGCGCACTTACATGTGAGCCGTCTAGACGACCGTCTGTTTTGTCATTAAATGGCAGCTGCCATCCAGCCGAATACTTAATCTTGAGACCTATTAGGGTCTTGTCGAGTCAAGTGCGGGTCTCTCTCCCACCTTAGGGACTGAGACTGTAAAAGCCCCTCGCTACACAGACAAGTAGTGAATGTTTGAGATAAATATATTATTATATAGTTTAAACTCAATAAATAACTGTTGTTATTGTCCAAATTACTGATAAAACATATTTTAACTTTTTCCTTCTAACCATATTTCCAAACCATTCCAAACCATTCCAAGCCATTCCAAACATTTCCAATTTTGGAAATATGCTTGGAAATGTTGCCATTCCAATTTTGGATTTTTTGGAAAGATCGATCTTTCCAAGCTTTGGAAATGTTGGAATGAGCGATCTTTCCAAAGAAATCCAACGATCATTCCAAATTGGAATGGACGCTATTTGGTCTTGTGAACGTAAGTAGTGCAATGGCACTGATGCAGATCCCATCGCCTAAGAATTGAATCAGGAGGTTTACTAAAGAAAAGTGAGTGAGTGAGTTGGGTTTAACGCCGCTCTTAACATTATTCCAGTTATATCACGGCGTGTCAGCTTAGTGTGGAAGGAAAGCCCGAAGTGATGCAGGTCTCAGACGTTTACCACTTCGGTGAAACCCACGAGCACGGGTATGGTGCTGAAAAACCTAGAAACATAATCGGGGCGAAACGGGATTCGAACCCACAATCATAGGTTTCTGGCGTGCCCAAAGGACGCAACTCTGCACAGCGAATCGCGGCGCCTTAGACGACTGGGCCACCCGTGCCCCCTACTAAAGAAAAGAGAGAAGATAGAATTTGTGTTATTTGTAAAGAGAGCTATAAAGAAGATGAATATCATTTCATTTTGATGAGTAAAACTTGTGATGATCTGAGAGCCGAATTAATAGCACCAGCATATTATACTTATGCTACTAGACACAAGTTTAATATGTTAATGTCGTCCACTCACGAATACACCATCCAACACCCATCTGTACATAAAGCAATGTGTTTTAGAAACTAATTGGCACCATGAGTCTCTGGCTACCCTCTCTAACTAGTTTCATGTAAATCTGTGATGTTCTAGTTATTCTACTGCCCTTCGTCGGCAGAATTTTATACAGTTTAAAATATATTGTTGATGTCAAATTTTGTTTCGTCACGATATGGCTGAAATATTGCCGATGTGACGTTAAACTTTAACTCACTCACTCACTCACTCTGACTACCCGTATTACCATTCAATAATGGACCTATGACCTACAATACTGAATGAATAAAGTTAATCAATGTCCATGCTTAAAATATATTCGAAAGCAATACATTCCAAATAAATATGTAATTCGACCGTCAGTCCAACAATTTATTAGCTTTATTGCAACCTCAAATGTATTTGAGGCTATGGCCAATCATACAATACAAATTGAACTTTGAAACCCATTGAAGCACTTTCCTGCTTGAACTACAATGGACATCTGATTCACAATTCACGAACTCATCTGTAATGGGATCTGTTTAACAATGAAGCAAGGGAAAATTCTGACAGACAAATGTCTCCTTGGGCAATTAAACCACAAGAATTATTTTCAGAAGCGCCATTTAGTACCATTTAGTGATATGGCAAGAGTCAAATCAATGTATCGAGGCACTCGTGAAGAGCAACCTCCACGTGGTCAGTGCTGGGTAACGCTAATCGCTCTTCCCCCGTGTGGACCTGTGGTAGACGTCAATACCCCAAGTTGCCCGAATTCGTGGAAAATAATTTATCAACAGTGGGACAAGTACCGTCAAACCGGTGGGGATGCAATTCAAATAAATTATTGGCAGAAATTTTGAATTGCAAGATGACACTGCCAGGCCACATCGTGCCCACAGGTCGCCAGCAGTTATCTCCGACGTTTGCGCGTACAGGCATGCCCTGTCATTGACCCAACAAAGCACATCGAGCGGAGAGTGCGCCAGGGACTAAGCACCTGCCAACGTGACCAAGCTTGGGTAGCTTTTTAGTCGAATGGTAGACAATTCCAAGGGCAATCGTGCGCAAATTAATTATCAGTATGCCAGTATATCAAGGTGTCGTGCATGTACAGCCGAAAATGATCTCTTAAAATCATGCCTTGGTAGGGTATTTTGTGTCACAATAGTATCATTTCCTAACGTAGCAGATCAAATACCAAACTTAATGCAAGCCTATTTTAATAACACTTTAACATGGACTAAACGTTCAATCTATGCAAAAAGAAAGAAACACGTACTAGAATGAATGTAAATCCTGTATGTATGTAAATAGGTGAGCTAACTGAGGCGTCCTTAGCGTGTGAAGATCAAGGGAAGTGAGTGGATGTCGGTAAGGCGTTGTATTTTTCTACCACTAAAAGAACTAGACACTGTTAACATCGATGAAGACAGATGTCTAGTCATTGTGATTATAATGATATCGTCAGCGTTCAGATAGTTGTTTGAGGATGACTGCTTTTATGTTTTGTGTGATCACATGATTGCAATTCCAACTGTCGGGTGTGGGAGACCTCTTTCTCTGTCGCCCATATGAAGTGGTACAGCCAAGAGTAATATACTAGAAAAAAGTGGTGTCAATGTTGTGTTCTTGTAAATAACAACAAAATACTCGTATTTGGCTGTTCGTCTGATCTTTGGTTTATGATAAGCCATATGCAAAGAAGCATATTTAAGGGAAGTTGTAATTCCTGCTACACGAGACACAGTTTCTGAACGTGGAAAACTAACGCGCTCAAACTTTGCACATTGCACATGTATCGCATGCCGTCCACGGTGACACATCCTGGTAACTGGCATGTGACGTTAAACGACACCTTGGTAAATCTAAAAGTGTGATTGCACGACTGATGGAATGATGTCGGAAAACGGGCGGGGTTAATATTAGGGTGGGTAGATGAATGACTACACCCAAGCACGATCGATATGTATGCACCATTGAGGGACAGATTCATTTTTGTATCAGAACTGAGGGACATCTTCCGTGCTGCCACAGGAATCCGACTTTCGACGTCAACAATATGAAACTGCGAGTCTGAAATCGAGACGTCTTTCCAGAGTGATGCGTATGACTCTGGCACACGGTCAACAGTGGAAACAGCAGATTGGAGGTCGTCAGCAGCGTCATTGGAGTGAGTGAGTGAGTATGGTTTAGTATGGCATTATTCCAGCAATATCACGGCGGGGGACACCAGAAATGGGCTTCACACAATGTACCCATGTCGGGAATCGAACCCGGGTCTTCGGCGTGACGAGCGAACGCTTTAACCACTAGGCTACCCGACCGCCCCCGCGTCATTGGAGATACACCATGTTTTCTGATGAACTGAAGTTTTGTTGACACTTTACTGATGGTAGACAAATGTTTGGAGACAGTGTGGCGAGAGGTGCTATCCGACAGCAGTACAGGAGCACGATAGATACGGTGGTGACAGAATGATGGTTTCGGCTGGCATCACATACAACAGGACGGATCTGATATTCGCCCAAGGGTACTTGACCGGTCATCGTTATGTGGACCAAATGTTACGTGCAGTGGTCATCCTATTGGCCTAGCACTTAGGTCAGAACTTGAGTTCCAGGATGACTACGCAGGTCCTCACAGAGCTCGTGTTGCAGTAACAACATTGCCCTGGCCAGCCAAATCTCCAGACATGTCACTTATTGACCACCTTTAGGATGTTATGGGCCGAGGAGTTTACAACCGAGCTTAGCGTTTC